AATAAAAATGGAATTAAATAGAGTCTTATATGTCTGCAATGCGTAGGAGGTTGAACTGATGTAATCTGGATTTAGTGTCATAATATATAAAATGGAGATAATAACTCTTAGATTATTCTATGAAATGATGTTATGTATGAAACGTCTTAGCAGAGTGCCAGACACATAGTAAGTGCTCAGTAGGTGTGGCCAATTCACTCTTTGGCTGGGCTAGCTCTTGTGAATTCACTGTCCAGTGACACTGATGTTGTAATTGACAGAATCATTAGATTCAATTTTATCATAAAGATACACATACAATATTTTGATCAGGAAGATATCTTGCCCCAGCCCCTAATAGGAAAGATAAGGAAATAGTCCAGATAAGGAAACTGAGGCTCTGTGAAATGAAGTGGCTTTTCCAAGACCCCACATCTGGTGAGGAGCAGAGAGCCAGGAGTGAATGCTTTGTTCACCGTTGTTAATGAAAGATTCCTCAACATTATTAATTAAGTGGAGGTGAAAATCTCCTGCAGACTGTGAAATATGCTTTAATAATGTCTAATTTTGATATCAAATTAAAGTACATACAATTCCGGCATTCTCTATACATGTCAACCAAATCAACTTCTTGTGGTTGGTTTGCTCTTGTAAGTTTCGGTGGTCTTTATGCTGTACTATTATACTAATCCATCCATCAAACATTAGCCTTAAAAGGGACTTTATAGCACCCCTAATGAAATATGCAAATGCTGGGCTATAAAGATGAAGGAAAATGGGAACCAGAGTAGTTATGTGATTTGGCCAAGAGCAAATGTGTTAAGCCATTTTAGTTGTAAGGATGGTCAAAATAGTGGAGAAGTGCTACAGAATTGCTGGCTGCTTTGCCCTGGGTCGACCTTCATATGATCTTGGGAAGACCAGAGCATTTAACCTCTAGGCAGAAGACCTATCTTCTAGACCATCTTGTTTTTAATTTTTCTTAGTCTCAATTTTCTCATCCACAAAATGGCCCTAAAAATATATTCCATGTCTACCTCATCAAGTGGAAGGGTATGTTAGATAATGTGCAAGATAAAAATTAAGAAACTGTTTCATAATTGCTACTATTTGCATGAATTGAGAATTGAACACCCTCTAAGCTAAACTCAACTTTCTGTGGGAACGTCGTGTGATAGTATCCATCTTGTCAATACAAGATGGGTCAGAGGTGAAAAATGAGTGATGCTATCAACTGATGGTTAGAATCTGTCTTTTAGGGACTTTTTTGGGATGGTAAGAGATATGTTGGTTTGACCCTATGGGTCACACAATGTTCTCCAGAGACCTCACTCAGTGCAGATTCCCTAAATTTTCTCCTCTAACTTCCTTAGTTATGTGTAATGTTATCATTTATGCTCCTGATTTACTGAAACTTCCCTTGTTAAAATACTATTCACAAGAGGCATCTGATAGCCAAGAAGTCTTTCCAGGTCATTCAAATGAGTTTCTAAGGGTTATTTTTTGAAGGCAGGAAGTCACAAATTGCCAAGAATAAAAGAACTTGAAAACACAGAGTTTTTTTCTGACCTTCAAGGAACTGATTATATTCCTGAATGGAGGACCTGATTTGACTGAAATAACCTGCTATGCATTTCTTACATTTATGACTTAGGTAACTTGATTATGCATTCTGATTAACAGGTGAAATAATTGATCTGATTAGCCAAGTATTTTATGTAACTATGATTTAGAAATGTATTTTACAAAGGCTTAAACTTTAGTTTTACCTAGGCTGTTGATCTTGACTCTGAGATCACCATTTTTAAGGATATTGTAGGGTAGCTTATGTCACAGGTAGCTCTAAGCACTCTAGGAGTTTTTTTAACTGTATAAAATATAATATTAATTTCATTTACAAATTGTGGCATCTGAGAAACAACTGAGGATGGAAAATTACACGGTGTATTCATGTTATTGTAAACATGAGCTGCTGCCTACGTTCTGTATATAAAAGTCCCTTGGGCTCTATTTTGTGCGGGAGTGAGAATGGACGAGCACTGATTATTTCCAGGGAAACAAACAACTGTCCCTGAAAAATCCTCTCCACGGGCAAATACTGCCTGTGCCTCCACAGACTTGTCCATTTCTGTACTGTAACTGTGGGTTCCCCTGCTGTGTTCCAGCCCCCTTGGGTCCCTCTCTTTTCTGGATTCCCATAAGACACACAAGACAATATGTAATGGTGTGGAAAACTGTGTGGTAGTATTCGTCTTCATTTCTGATTACTTGTGAAAATGCCCAGTTTCCTCTTATACTGCAAATTTCCTTAAGAGGAGCCCATTGTGTACTTGGTATTTCCCAGAATCGAGCACAGTACTGGGCACATGGTAAGCCCTCAGTAAACACATAATTAACCAAGACTAACTGGGAAGCTTCTCAAGGTCTGGGATTCTGTTTCAAATGAGCTGTGTGGTACCTCATATAAGGTCTCGTGCTGATAGGTGTTTAATTGATTTGATTGAACCTATGAACAGAATACCCATTCCATTCTTTTGCTCCTAGAATAAGTTGAATTTGGGCCCCTAGTCTTTTTCCTTATTTAACTTGTCTTGCCCAAACAGCTTTAAGTTTGATGCTTCTAACTGAGGCTGCCTGGGTTATTATCACTGAAAGTTGCCTTCTTCTTACGTTGCCCAAGTCATTAGAGGTGAAAGAGGCTGTCAACGTGTTCCGTTCAAACCTTGTAATTGCACGATGAGGAAACAGGTCCATTGTGGTTGAGTGAGTTGTGCAAGGTTATTCATTAATCCATTTAATATTACATTTTGAAGGCCCATGTTACTCCAGATGACATAGTGAGTCACGGCCATCATCACTGTCCCAGTCCCTTTGGCTGCCATTAAATACTTGCCACTTAGCGCCCTGGTGATGTCTTTCCCTCCACTCCCGTTTCTTCAACGTGCATTAGAGAAATCAGGTGTCTAAAATTTCTGCTGGGCCTTACTTGGGATGCCTATTTCCAACTTTTTCCTAATGGCAGCACTGTATGGCAAGGAGACTTCCTAACACTTTGTATGACAAGACAGTTTTCTAGAAATCTTGCTGAGAAGTTTTTGAAAAATGCACAATATTCTTGGTAAGTGAGGAGTAGTTCTTGGTTATGTCCCAGAAACAAACTGGGATTTGGGCACCCGTGTCTCCGAGGATGGGAATTAGTGTGTTTGGCGCGATGTGTGATGATGTAATGGCCCTGCTACTGACAGGCATATAGAATCAGGCTGGGGAGGGGCTGTGTCACTCCACGGCAGTGCACATCTTAGATAAGTAGCTCCACTTTCCTGTGTTTCCAGGAGACCAAAATTAGTAGCTGTTGAGCCCGAGGTATAAAATTACATGCTTAGACATGTAAAACCTAGCTATAAAACTTTTGTTTTTGTTTCTTTGGTAAAGATGGTGACTGGACTAGTGATTGTGGATAAACTAAAGATCGTGGGCAAAGAGTTCCCTGTTATTTAGGGGCTTGGTTCTGTTCTGCAGTCCCCTGAATGTCTTCAGAAGCGAAGGGTGAGGAATTGGGGAGGATGAAGAGAAATGGCACTTAGTTCCCTGTGGGCTTTGGCAGAGCTGTGGATTCTCGCCAGAAATGCTGCCTGGGTTTGAGAGAGGAACACATCAGGGCTAGAAGAACAGAAAAGGAAAGGTGTCATGGGATGGGATGTGCACAGGCCTAGAAGCCTGCTCCAAGTAAATGAGCATGGCAGCAAGATGGTCTGGCTTTCTGTCCCATCCTTCTCCCATCTTCCTGGCATCGGAGACGGATGCCCAAGGGGCCCGGACCTTTGACTGCACTGAAAACTCAGGTGTCAGAATAAGATGCCGCTGTTTCCGGCCTTTATTTATGTATGTATTTATCCACGGGGAAAGCAATCAGGTGTGAAGGGTGGGCTAGAGACATCGATTCTTAGGCTTGGCTTGCAGTATCACTGGACTTAAGGGAAGTGTCCTAGCTAATCTGAGCATTTAGAAATCTTAGGAGACACAATTCTTGGCACCACCAGGCCCCTAATAGTAAGGGATTTAAAAAAATTACTGAAACTTCTCTGGCGAATCGGACTCTAGCCTTCTCCATTAGTCTACACGCCCCCCTCCCCCCTTCATGACTACAGAGACACAGGGGTGGGGGGGAGGACCATCTGGCCCAGTGCACCAGCTTTTTATTTGGTCGCTCTGAATCCTACCTTCCGGTTTGGATCACCCCTCCCCTCTGCCCATACTTCAGAAACCAATCAAGGTGTCTCCTGAACTCATTTATTCCCTTTGTTTCAACCGCCTTCTTGGGTAACTTTTTCCATATGCTTACATCCTTGCCTTACAAACAGATTTCTTTTTTTTCCCCTTCCACCATGGCCAGATTGAACTCTTAGGAAAAGCTGTGTACTCAAATGTACGACAGAGTGATTCTCAAGATCTCCCCACCCCCCAAATTTTCATTACTTTTGATGACCAGGGTATATCCACGGAAGGAAAAGTGCTATGTTTAAACATGACCGATGGGCAGTGGTGCTGAGTGGGCTGGAATTCCAGAACATGTTTTAGTACTGAATCTCCCCCCCGCCCAAGTGAAACGGTCTAATCTAGATTTGGAGCTAGGGTCTGTAATTAGTATTATTATGATTTTTAAAAATGTGGCCTTCATTTATTTCGTTGTCCCAGTGTGGCTTCCCTCCCTTCACCATGGTGACATTAGTGCCTGCTGTGGACCAATTTTCTTCAGTTGTTGCTAAAACTTACTAAAACCCCAGATGGCACGTTGGAAACACGAAACCTGAAAGAAGGTTGTAAATCACAAAAACAAACCATAAAAAAAAATAATAATAAAATACCCTGAGTGCTGTTCTCTGGAGCTTCCCAGCTTTAAGTTTCCTTTTGTTCACCTCTCTCCCACTCTGCCAGGTCCTCCACCCCGCCTCCCCTAGTTTAGGAGCATTGTTGGGGAGCTCAGCAGTTTCTCACCTGAGGCTCCGTGGTTTATTTTGCAGATTCTGAGCAGAGCACCGGTTCGGACTCGGAGGTGCTGACTGAGCGGACTTCCTGCTCCTTTGACACTCACACTGAACTAGGCCCTGGTGCTGCAGGCCCCGTGCCCCCTGCCATGTCTTCCATGGAGGAGATTCAGGTAGAGCTGCAGTGTGCTGACCTCTGGAAGAGGTTCCATGACATTGGCACTGAGATGATCATCACCAAGGCGGGCAGGTAAGGACACGTTCCTTTGAATGGCCACCTTCAAAAGACAGAGGACAAAGTAGGAGCTGTCACATTTCTTCTTTTCAGTTATTGGTGGTAGCCCTCATCGGTGAAGCCAAAGCCACTTGCGCTCACTTTTCTGCATCTGGACATCTGGGCAAAGTGATCCTGTCCAGTGATCTTGACCTTGTGATGTTTGCCATTTTCCTCCAAGGGTCACTCAAACCTCAACCACCTCTGTCCTTGCAAACATTTTTCACCTACAAATGTATTCCAGTTAATACTGGAGATCCATGGTCCATGACAGCCAAACCGATTTCCAGAGCACGTGTTACTTCACCATTCCGTGTTTTCAAGAGAATACATTTGCTCCCCAAACCACAGCTTGCATCTTCTAAGGCATTTAAAGCAGCCAGACATTGCTGTAAGCATTTTGTTTCTGGTAAGAACTGGGCTTGGTGCACCTCCTGCCCCCCGCTTGTTGATTCATTGGGTTTTATTGTGGGCTTAAAATTATTACAAAACACAAACGGCAACCTGGTGGAAACCCTTGCAAAACTATGTATGTAGATGATAAAGGTTTTCAAAATGCAGTGTCTCTTGAAATAAACACATTTAATTAAGATACTCTTGTACCAGTATCTTTCAATTTTCCACAGTTAGGTACTTGTTTTGTGCTGGATACTCAATATATACTATGTTATTTAAACTTCACAGAAGCCTCTAAAGCAGGATATGATAATCCCATATACAGATGAGGATGAAGGCCAAAAGAGGTTAATTAACTTGACTGAGGCCATACAGGCAGTAAGGGCAGCCCCAGAATTACGCACAAACCTGTATGGCTTTAAAACAACCATCTTGACCATTTACAACTCTGCACTGTGAAGAAATGGTTGTAGCTTTTTTCCCCATTGTATTAAAAATGAAAACGATTTCAATAAAAATAAACTGGAGCTAAGATTTTTGAGTACATAGGGATAGTTCATTGAAAGTAAAACAATAACACTGCCTCCCTATTTTCAGAGCCAACCTACGTAGTCTCATGTCATGGACCAAAAAGACCCTCCTCAATGATCATTTAAAGTAAAAGAATATTTTCAGTGGGTTCAGTTCACTTGAGTGCATATAGGGAAACCTCTCAATACAATAAGATATTACAAAAACAGGAGGTTAAAATGCACCTGAAATCTTGTGTATTTTCTTTGTCTTCTAGAATGCTCTTCTTTCTGTTTTGGTAATGAATAAAATCATTAAAAGGCAGGAGGAGCAACTTTGGAGGAGCATTGCTTTCACTGCCATCTCCTTTTTGTTGCTTGGGTTTCAGGCTAGTCCTGCTCTACATTTTGAGATGTTACAGAGTGGAAGGAAATAGAGCAATTCAAGGAAAGAGTTTTGGGCAAGGGGCTTGGTCGGAGAGAGAGAAAATATGACTTTTTTTTGCCTATAAGATTTTCCAGTTTTTATTTTGGATGTTCACTTCTTACCATTGGGTCTGTGGAGTCCAGTCATTTTTGTTCTTAATATCACAGCTTTGATTCCTGCACTTCAGCGAATTCACTTCACCTGAGCACCTCATTTTGTGATTTCTTCTGCAGTATTTTCTTGTCTATATCTCTACCTTCACAAATTTACTTGCATACCTGAATACATCCAGATAGCCCCAGCACAGACATACAGTTTGTTCTTTAGTCATAACCTTTTATTCAGTTGCACTAGTTATGTATGACTGTTCTTTTTCCTGAGCAGATCTTAGTCACCATTTTCTTCTTCTCACTCCCCAAACTGGAATCCTATTCATTCAAGGCTACTGCAGTCCACACAGCCCTCAATCTCTGAATGTCCCGACATAATTTGAATAATCAGCACCATGGACAGAGGTGCTTGTAGGGATTAATGGGTTTGGAAGACAAAACAATTGGCCTAAATTTAGCTATAAAATTAAAACCAAACACACCTCATTTTGTGAATATGAAAGATTAATTTTTCTCTAGGGTCTTCTGACTTCACTTGATATTCTGAGCTAAAAACTTCTGGTAAGTTTTTAAGAAGAGAATTTAAATAAAGTCATAGATTTTTAAAGCAAGAGGGCACCTCAGAGATGGTGCTGTTTTATAGGTGATGGGGTCAAATGACTTGTCTAAAGGCACACAGCTCATTCATGTTAGAACTTGGGTATTGGGCAGAGACAGGTACCGTGTCCACTTAAGGTCATATAAGTGTTCCAGACAAAACAGGTATTGAATTTAAAAACATTCAATCCCTTTTATTGAAGTCATCAAGTAAAGAAATTCATCTCTTTCAGTGTAAAACAGTCTCTATAAATGGCTGGGAGGAACCACATTTTCTTATCTCAGATAGCAAGTGAGAGGATTTTTTCTCCATTCCTGGCAAGATGCTCTCCAACCATTTATTATATATACAGGACAATCATAAGTGATTGTGATTAAGAAGGGTATCGCTGATCTGTATTTAAATGTGCAGACCAAGGGTCCCGATTTTTTTGGAAATAATTAGGGTGCATCAAAGTGCCTAACCTATCGTGTATGTTATATTTAGTCATGAGCAGCTCACCATTGAATTTCATGAGCCCATCATAAGGCTAACACATGAGGCTTTCTAATTAAACTTGTGAGGGTAGAGGGATGAAATCTAAACTGATGTACCAATAAAAGCTTCTGAAAAGTGATAAACTGGGAAAGAAGGAACAGTTCTATGTTATTCTTAGCAAATATGTAAGAATTAGCCATCATCCCTATTATAAGGTCTATAGTCCCTCTTGCGCTTCACCCCAATTAAGATTATGATGTCACTGACCTACAACCAGAGGACATTTGCTTTTTCAGTTGCTTTTGGGGAGCAGTGGAATGTGGACTCACACAGAAAGTCCCTCACGCAAACAACCAGTGCACATTTGCAAGATGGCTGTCTGGGGTCAGGGCATGGTCTGTGGCCGTGAAATGGAGCAAAGCCAATTAGGCTGTGTGTGGATCAAGCTTGTGACCTTGACCTCATTAGCACTGTGCTCTGCCCAGCTCAACTAAATGGCCCCAGATGGTGAAGCTTAATGTAGCATTTTGGGTACAAGTGCCTTTAGAGTACGTTTGGGGCAATCCAAAAAATTTGAACTGAGTACTTTTAATGTCTGACTCCTCAATGAGTGACATGCAAAAGAGCTTGATGTTTTTATTCTTTCTTATGGTTAAAGGAGAATGGTGAATTTCATTCTGGCCTTCTTGAAACACAATACCGCTTTTGGGTTGTTCGCTCTTCAATTATGAGAGTAGTTGTAAAGTGCCATATCCTGACCTCGCTTGCTTTGGCAAGTTTAACAAGCCATTGTGGTAGAAACAAGGTATTGCCCAGAGGCCACTAGAATTCATTTGGTATTTGCTCCCCAGTCCACAGGGTCCTTCCTCTGACACACATGTTGACAGCCTGAGAACTTGCAGAAAATTTTCTACAGTTTTATGCATTAAAAACAAACAAACAAAAACCGTTGGTGGCCCTCTGTTTGGGAACTGGTAGCACCTTCTTTTGTTTTTTGTTTTTTTCTTTTCTTGAGAGATTATTTTTAGAGTGGTCATTTCCAAATAGACTCAATCAATCGTAAATATTTTACAATCACTAACAATCAACTGTGAAAATCTACTTGGGGAATAAGAATATCAATTAATCAAGTATATTAAGTATAAGCATATAAGTATATTAAAAAATATTATAGTCTAATAGGAAATGTATATGTGGATACACACACATTATCATCTATCTATCTATCTATCTATCTACAATCCATCCATCCATCTAATCACATTAAAAGTTAACTAATAATATAAAGCAGGGTATGGTATGAGCCCTTTGGGTGTCTGAATCATCAAATAGGCCAATTTAAGTTAAGAAGAGGTGAGGTGGTATTTTAGCAATATTAAGTCCTCAGCATATTTGATAGTGGTAATTTCCAAAGTGAAAAAAAATCAGCCAACTTTGAGAGCTGGAGGCCACTGGACTTGGGTGTGCTTCAAGCTCCCAATAATGAGACTCTCTGAGCTTTTACTTCTTCCCCTCTGATTGCTGAGCTCCCTCCTTTATTCCCCTTCCTAGGAGGATGTTCCCTGCCATGAGAGTGAAAGTCACCGGACTGGATCCACACCAGCAGTACTACATAGCGATGGACATTGTACCTGTGGACAATAAAAGATACAGGTAACGAATGACGCTGAGGTGTGGAAGTGTGGGTGTCTCTCGCACTCCAGAGCCATTCTATAAACTCATTAGATGATGCGCTTGAACAGTGCACAGCACACTGTACAAAAAACGAGGATGGAGGGTATGCCAATGGCCAGCGGCAGAGCACCAGGCAGGAGGAAGTCACTAGAGGTAGAAAATGAAGACTCAGCAGTGGTTTGGTCTGGAATCCCCCTTATATCTCTGGAGAGAGTGGGATTGTAGAGTGTCTGCCAGGGTAGTCAAAATCAAATGGATCTTAAGTCTAAAATGAATTCAGTTAACCAAGAAAGTGATTAACATATTGAACGATTTGGTTTATGAAAGGCTAAGTGAGTTGTGATGATTTATTTCCAAAAGGGGGAGGAATGGACCCGTGCTGAATATTCGGTCATATATTTGATGGATTACCCTGTGGATGATGGAGGGGAAGAATAGGAGAGTTGGTTAAGAGCTCAAGAAGAACGTCTAGTTAGGGAGAATTCATTAATATGAGCTGTGAGCGAGTTTGTTATTATAAATAATTTCCCTTCAAAGTCACAGAAAGCCAACACAGTCTCACTGTCTCTTGGTGGCTTACATGTCATTCTTGTCTGAAGCAAGTTGTGGCTTAATTGATCTCTGGAGATCTAAGTCCAATCAGTGAATTGTGGCTTGTTTTGAAATCTCTGAGAACTTGGCCCGAAACCCATGAATTCGAAGGCGAGGGATGAATGGGGAGGACCAGGACGAGTATGGCGGGGAGAGTGCGCTGGCTAAGAGAGAAGTGGCCTGGATTGCAGGACTTAAGAGGGGAGATGCTTCAGCTCTGTGTTAGAGGGCTTGGGGAGCTGTGATGTGGACTGAGAGCCTCTGTCTGCCAGGGTCCAGGTCCCATGTGGTCTTTTAGAACCGAGAAGCAGGGAGTGTCAGGTCCACGGAGAACACTCTTGAGAACAGGGCGATGGGCAGAGCCTGGAAAACTGACCTCCCTTGGTAATGACAACATCTCATCTCCAGTTGTTTTGTGGGGAAATAACGTGGCAGATGATGACGTTTATAACTAGGTTCATCAAAGACAACCCTAACTGGGGAGACGGGGTGGTGTTTCTGGCGATGGCTGCACGAAGGCCAAGGCCTTCCATGTTTCATAGAGATCCCTCAAGCTCCAGATCCTTAGCAAGGAAACGGTTAACCGGCGAGAGGCTTGGAGGGTCTCTGCACATGGCTGTGTTTTATAGGACAATATGGAAGATGTTTTCAATAAGGAACCAAATCCCGAACAAGTGGCCAGCGGATTATATGGTTTGCATTTGGAAGGTGAAAGGTTGCAGTAAAATGCCTTTGCCTTAGCTAGCCACGTGGGTTTGGGACGCCTGTGCACACGCAGGGGTGCAGGCAAGGCAAGGGAGGAGGAGGAGAAGGGGGCTGTGGGAATGTTTTCCTTGTGAGAGCTGCAGCTTTGATCATTAACCACAACACTTCTCTGCTCCTCCCCCCACACCCCCCCAACCCCCGCCATCTTTTGCTCCATTTCCATCTCTATTTAATTTCTCCTGGTTATCAACCCTTCTCTTTTTATGCCTTGTATTCTCTGTTGAATCTCTCCTACTTCTCCATTCTTGTCATCTCTTTGTCTCCCCTCTCGCCTGTCCCTGATTGTTTCCTGGGCCTCTGTTCCCTCTGGGCGTCTGTCTCTGAATCCTCCTCTCTCCCTCTCTATCTCAGATACGTGTATCATAGCTCCAAGTGGATGGTGGCCGGCAATGCCGACTCCCCTGTGCCCCCAAGAGTTTATATACACCCCGATTCTCTAGCTTCTGGAGACACTTGGATGAGACAGGTGGTCAGTTTCGACAAACTCAAGCTGACCAACAATGAACTGGATGATCAAGGACATGTGAGTCGAAAGAACCCCGTTTCCCTCTTCCTCCCTCTCCCTGTCTGTCTAGAGCTGACTATCCCCAGGCTTTTACAAACAGGTAAACTAAGAATCTCCGTGCTACTTTAAGCCATCTTCAGAAAGTCAGCGTAAAAGTTTTTTTTTCTTCTTGTGAAATTTTATTTATTACAAATCTAACATTTGGCAAATGTCTGCTGTGCATTAGGTTGTACTTATCGGATAGAGCTCTTGTGCCCCGGGACCCACAGTCTAGTCAGGGGAAAACTCACAGATGGAAGGAAATACAGGATGAATTAAAAAATGGTGGAAGAAATCACAAGAAATTCAGTAGAATAACTGACAGGGCCACCAACTCAGGGAAATAAATAAAGTTACAGTTCTGACTCATTTGTCAAGAAATTTATGAATTTATAAGAGAAGAATAGGCCCCAAGTCTTTCCAGGTATAATTGGAGCACATGAGGCTATTAATTTATCTTTGGCAGTAAAACATACACTGAATTTTCACTGAATGCCAGGATCCACACTGGGTACTATGGGAAGATGGAAGAAGCTAAAACCACGGCTCCTATCATTAAGAAAATGACAAGTTTTTGAGGAAGGGAGAACACGCGTATACCATCCATTCTCACATGACATAAGAGAATGTCCATGCATTCAATAACAAAGTACAAATAATAGCTTGTATGAGCCCACGCTGACAATTTGAAGCAGGAAGGAACCACGGACATGTGGCAGAGGTTCTAAGACCTCTTAGTGGAGTGGTGTCCACTGGTACAGGATAGTCATTTAGTATTTATGCAGTTAAAGCCAATGTATTACCTCCACTACCCATGGCTAGGATACTCTGTTATGTGGTTCCATGTAATGCTCTCCCATCACTTGGTCCTTCCTGCCATGGACAAATACACCGATTTCTGGTTTCCTGTACATCCTGCCCCCCCATCTGTGCTCTTCCCATAAGGCTTCTATCCTGTGATTCTTATTTGCATGAGAGCTTGAGAAGATGCAGGAACCTTAGAGCCAACCGTGGCATAATGTCCCTCCTTGTCATTTCAGATCATTCTGCACTCTATGCACAAGTACCAGCCTCGAGTTCATGTGATTCGCAAGGATTTCAGCAGCGACCTTTCGCCCACCAAACCTGTGCCTGTTGGGGATGGAGTGAAAACATTCAACTTCCCTGAGACCGTGTTCACCACAGTCACGGCCTATCAGAACCAGCAGGTAAGAGGCCGCCCTGGAGGGTCTCCTGCAGTCTCTGCTTTTACAGGGGCTTATTTGGGCTTTTGGTAAGAAACCCTTAGTCCTTCTGCATAGCCCTGAAGGGCTGGAATGAGAGACAGCAGGCGGGAGTGCACACAGGGCCCTGGTGATGACAAGGTGGTAATGCCAAGTGGCAGCTGGTGTGGTCTAGATTTAGATCAGAGACAAGACCTCTGCCCAAGTGGACCCAATCTCCCTAGTCATTTTCACATCTCTCTGTACGTGGACCCACGTCCGTCATCTCTACCACATCCCGGCAAATGTCCCTCATCATTTGCAATTCCTTTGCAAGTAGTACTGAGGTTTGATTCCTTCCTTCCCTCTTACCTGCAATTTTCCATGGATCCCTCCACCTGCCCACATTAAAGTCACCAGGCCTTTCAAACTCTATCTAAGACTCACTTACAGCTTCATTTACACTTCTGGACTAAATTTACCTCCATGGGATCACCAGCCACACCCTAAGATCCGTATGTTTTTATGTCAGTAATATGTTCATTCATTCCATAAATATTTATGGAGAATGTACAATACCCCACTCTTAGTAGAGAAATCAGGCAGATGAAGGCTTACTTCTCACTAGGCAAAGGAGATTTAGTTGCATGAAAGGCATGTAAATACATAATGATAACACAGTTGAATAACTTAACAGAGATGGAGACAGGGTGCTTTTTTGGTTTGAGGAATGAGGTAAGTTTTCCCGGAAGAGTTGATGCTTTTTCTGATGTTGAGACACACATATGAATTAGCCAGACTGATGGAGGAGGTAGCTGGGTGGGGGAGGGAGGGAGGGAGACCAGGCCTGGAATTGTTGTGGGCATTCTACATAAACTTCTTTTTAGAGGAGTGTGACTAGGTGGATTTACAAGTGGTCTCACTTGATGCAATTCCCTAAAAGTTGCATGTGAATCTCACTTTTGTAAATTAGACTATATTTCATCTTTTGGCAAATTATCTAATTAACAGGATCCTGCAGGGCAATCCTTTTCTGAAATAAAAGAGTTTTTGTTTATTGTGCTTGAAAGTCTGCATATTTTTATTTTGGGTCTGCTTGGAGCAAAATGAATTTATAATACTCAATACCTTTGGTATTGGCTACTATGCTTAGTGCTCTGATAAAGATGGCAATAGAGGAATGGCACTTATTTACTATTTATCAAGTGCTTATGGTATGCCAGGCAGGTGAAGGTGAGTTATATAATCTTTGATTCACATAGAAAGTGTATTTCTTTCATAATGCATCTGAATAAGATTCCTTAGCTGTTCTTTACCTTCAGAGGAATTCGATGTACAACAACCCCTTAGTCTGGTAAATATTAAGTACTATGTGGTTCTCAGGTTTTCTTGGCAGCTACAAAGAGTTCCCAACTTCAGATTTTCCTTGTTGATGCCACATTTGATCTAAACTAGAGGAAGAGTTTTCGTTTGCTTTGGGCGCCATTTAAAAACTATTAAATCCTCTCAAACTTCTGAATAGTAAAATTGCAGAGGCCATGGAGAGTCTTTACAGATAACTTTAATACTCAAGTTCTGCTACAAGATACTACATGGATTTTGAAGCAAGTATTGGGTTGTCGGAAAAGTCATGACGCATTTTTGCAACAAACAAGAAAAAATACGTCATGACTTTTCCAACAACCCAACAGAACACTGGGATTAACTGTGGTTCAGAAGAGGGGAGAACAAGCCTAAGTTTTTGAATAACTGATTGGACTTTGTCCCCAAGGCTGCCCAATCTGCCATTTTAATCATTAGCTTCTCAGGAAGGCAGAGATGTGGCAGTAAGTACTATGAGTCTAGAATTTATTGGGTTGTCGGAAAAGTCATGACGTATTTTTGCTGTTTTTCGTTGCAAAAATGCGTCATGACTTTTCTGACAACCCAATAGTTTGTAGAACAAGCCAGAACCCTGATGAGTTCACTCACTGAGATCAGTTCTAGAAGCCAAAAGGATCACTACTGTAGCCCCAGTGGAAACTAAAAAGCTACAACTCACCGTGACAATGAAAGTCCAAACATGGAGACCAAATCCATTTCTCTTCCCAAACTTTCTCCTTTAGGCATTTTTTCTGCGTCTGAGTACATTCTCCTTGTATAAATATTTTGTCTATATATCTGGACTGGGATGGGGGTGGTGGTAGCGGCTCAAAACCATGATTAAGATCGTGGCATTTGGCCACAGACGCACCTGGTTTGATATCTGACCTTTCTACTGACGAACTGTGTGACCTTGAGCAACTTTCTTACCCCCCCCCGCCCTTCAACTTGTGTTTCCTGGTATGAAAATGTCCCAGCCTCACAGAGCTACGAGGACTAGATGAGGGAACACGTATAAAGGCACTGACACAAACCTGGCGTCCAATTAACGGTAGTCAGCTGACATTGGTAAATGACGGGGTCTGCAAAGGCATGGAGTGGAGCAGGGAGTGGAGGCCATTTTAAAGAATAAATTGCTCATTAAGGAGAAAGTGGATTGTTGGGAACTGAAGGAGCTGCCTGGGCTCTCGAAGATATAATCAATAGGTAACTACTTTCATCTCTCTGTTCTCATGTCATGTTGGTGAATTCATGATGTGCTAACATTCAAAATGGAGTCATACTGAATTCTGCCCGTTTTGAAGTCAAGATAACAGCTTTTGCCTGTTTAACAAGCCTCCCATCCCTGGATAAACCAATAAGCATGATTGTTTTAACATTCCCTTTGGCTGCGTAGCTGTGATTTAATATAATACAGTGACTTGTAATAAAGCAAACTGACCTCGGGTCTTTCCCCCAGGAGTCTTGACGTCTGCATCCCGTAAGTCAGAGCTGTTCGCTAACAATAATTTTCAGACTTGTCTTGAAGGTGCCGGGTAGCATAAACTGTTCTATTTTCTGAGTGATGTTCACCTATTACTGTCTTTTTATTTCCCTCTGCCATCCAGAATGAGAATAATTAGTAGTTTATGGCAAAATTGCTTACTTCCTATATTTCTTTTTAAGGGAATGGCTAGGGGCCAATGAGAATAAAGAGGGGAAAAGTCAGTGGTAGGTTCTCAATGTTTTTGGGGCTTGTTTGGAGGAACACAATAAAGGAAGGACAACAGAGGGAATGGAACTGAAATGTTACCCAGTCTTCCTAAGGAAAGGTAGTGTCCTGTTCCACATGCAGCAATGGGCCAGACATTTGGAGACCTGGGTTTCAGTCCTAGATTTCCCACTAGCTACCTGTGTCACCCTGAGCAAATCATTTTGTCTTTCTGGGCTTCACTTTCCTCTCCCAGCAAATGAGCAGTTTGTTTATGCTTTCTAAGGTCTCTGTTAGCTCTGAATTTACAATTTCTCCCTTTTTTTCTGCATGGTTAAATTAAAAAAATATCTTCAATTACAGTTGACATTCACTATACTTTTATATTAGTTTCAGGTATATAGCATAGTGGTTAGACATTTATATAATTGTATGCATGCTTTTTAATGATGGTTGGGAGAAATTTATTGTTATGAAACAGAGGCAATTGACACATGATTTTCAAGTATTGAAAATTATGAGAGTGTTCATGTTTGTAAACTTTTTTTTTAACCCCCATAATGTTCTAGACCAATACAGTTTGACAGGTCTACACTTGTGAGGTGGGAACATGGTGTTTTATTGCTGGTAAACAAAACACTCCAAACTATACTATTCATTTGTGACTCCTCTCAGTTCTATCCATGGTCAAAGCCCAAGTTTCCTGCTGACTTTCATCTTGTCACCCATGCTGGACACTTGACTCTCCCACTTCCAGTCTGCCACTAAACTCTGTTGCTTCTACTGATGAAATACTTTCTTGTTTCTGATCTCATTGCTTCTGGATCTGCCCTCCCCCCACCTAGGGCTGTTGCGGGAGCTTCTAGCACAGTCACCTAGATTGCAAGCTAACGTCTCACCAGCCATCACATATATTCATTGCTGGATGAATCTTCCTGAAGCACAGCTCTGATCGCACCCTTTCTCTGTCAAAAGTGGTCTATGACTCATTAGTGCCTAGGGAGCAAAGCACAGGAGCCCAAGCCTTTCACTTATGATCCTCTGTGGGTAATCACCAAATACATTTCTAGGCTTGTTTTCCGTTAATCCTTATTATGCATCCGCAAGAGTTCAGCAGTCAAGTTAGAACTTGACTGTTGTCTGCACTTCGTAGCTACCTTGCTTTTGCCCATCTGTTGTCTCTCCAGGAATGCCCTCCCCCTTCCTCTTTATCTGTCTGGATTCCTTCTATTCAAGTTCGGTGCAAATACTATCGCCTGCAACCTTCCTTACATTTTTTTCAGCTGCAAATGTGCTTTCCTTTGTGAAACTGTTAGTGATTGTATCTCTCTCATGACCTTCATCACTTTCTAACGCACGCGCGCTTGTGGATGTGTGTGTCTAATCTTCCTCTCAATACTTGAGCTTTTTGAGGACAAAGGTTGCACATTTTACAAAAAGCAGTGTGATATGGTAGAAAACACCAGGTTGGGAGTTAAGAGGCTTGAGTTCTAGACCCATCTCTGCAGCTAACGGACTGTCCTGCCTTTGACAAATCACTCCACCTCAGTATTCTTATTTCAAGTGGATGGTTTGGTCTGAATCAGTGCTTCTCAGTCACCATGGAGAAGTTTTTTAGGGTCCACTGAAAGATGAGAAAAATAAAAACAGTATAGGGATTTTAAAAATATATGTAAACATTCATTTTGATAGACTGTACATTATTATTTTTTTAATTTTATGATACTAAAATGTGATTTATTTTATGGAATAATGATGACAAGAGATAGTAGATGTTAACTCTCTTTACTTGGTAGAATAAAAAATTGGAATATCAATGTTGATTCCTCCAATGTTGGAAGGAGGGGATTAGAATTGGCCTCTGGCGAGGTTGTGGAGAAAAGGGAACCCTGGTGCACTGTTGGTGGGACTGCACATTGGTGCAGCCACTATGGAAAACAGTATGGTGGCCCCT